CCCCAATGAGCAGCAACAGCGGGCGGCACGTCGAAACAGCTGCTTTGAAATTGCTCGGGCCTGTGTGAAACCCACCACCCCAAAAACCTGCACTGTGAAACGGTATTCACCAGTTCGCAGTAGCTGATGCAGATCCCAGGGCTCGATCCCTAATCCCCACCTTACCTGTGTACAGTACCTGTGTCAACCCGTAGAGTTGAACCTGCGACCTGTAGGACTGCCAGTGGTAGGTAGGTCATCGTAGGTTACAGGGTATAGGGGATTCGAATTGTAGACCTGTCGGGTAGAAGTCTAGAGAGTCCAGAGGTCATAGCTGTAGACTTTCCGAAGGGTCAAAGTCGTAGCTGCTACTTACCTGAAAGGGCCAAAGTCGTAGCTGCTACATGACCGAAAGGCCAAGTAGATGCTTCTAGAAGTGGCCTTTCGGGGTCAGCCCACTGTAGGTCAAGGCAAGTGGGCAAGTGGTGGAAATCCACCGTGCAGATTCAGCAGTCCCAGTCCAGTCAGTCCGGTCCAGTCAAGCAAGTACCGCCTGGGACTGTGTGCACCGTGGGCCAGGGAAACAGGGCAGGCCGACGAGCCACAAAAGTATAAATCAAGAGGCCGTGCACAGCCATTCATTCATTCCTGCGGAAGCCATGCGGAAGCGCTGTCTCAGCAGCTTGTGCGAGGAGGTCTGCAGCAGCCCGAAGTCAAAGTGGGCAAGAGAGACGAAGTGCAGCCATAGTGATAGGGTAGTGGCAGCCATCGTTGCCATAGCTGTAGGTTAGAGTGAAGTGTGTGTGTGTTGAGTGAGTGTTCAGCATGTCGCGTGTGGGATATCCAGGGTGATCCGGTGTGTGTGAACAGTGAGATGTTGGGCGCTGAGTCGCCATAGCCAGTGGAAGTGAACTCTTATCTGGATGCCATATCTCTGAGTTCTGTGTGGGCGCATGTCGCCAGTTTGCTGCGATGCTGTTTACATGCATGCAAGGTGTGAATGAGATGAGTCTGATTGCATTGGTATATCCAGGGTGATCCGGTGTGTGTGAACAGTGAGATGTTGGGCGCTGAGCCGCCATAGCCAGTGGAAGTGAACTCTTATCTGGATGCCATATCTCTGAGTTCAATGTGGGCCCATGTCGCCAGTTTGCTGCGATGCTGTTTACATGCATGCAAGGTGTGAATGAGACGAGTCTGATTGCATTGGTATCGGAGCTGGTACCCGCTATTCCATGCGTGCTGTCGTGTGCAGGGTCTGAGGCGCCATAGCAGAGGTGGCCGCCGAGGGATACAGTCCGCCATAGCGGACCTGAGGTTGGGGAAGCCGCCGCACACCTGCAAGAAGATCACGACGAAGAAGAAGACTGAGAGAGAGAGAGAGAGAGAGAGAGAGAGAGAGAGAGAGAGAGAGAGAGAGAGAGAGAGAGAGATGAGCGATACAAGTTTGGTTGTCACTTACGTGTGGAACGTGTCGCGCAGTCCCACGAAGGAGGATGAAAGCGGCCATAGCCGCTGAGCGTCATCACAAAGTAACGAAGGAGAGAGGACGGAGAAGGAGGGACCGAAGAGAGAGAAAGAAGAAGTAGAGAAGGAGGAAGAAGGAGACATCGAGGTGGAAGACAGACATAGCCGAGGGTGAAAAAAAAAAAAAAAAAAAAAAAAAAAGAAAGGAAGAAGAAGGTGAAGGAAAGGGGAGAAGGAGATGAGGGTGGCGAAGAGGAAGGTGCCGGCAGCCATAGCCGAGGTGGAGAGTTGACCGGAGGGTTGACCAGGCGTTGATCGGAAGGTTGACCGGGGTGTTGATCGGGGTCCTACCGCATTGACCAAGACTTTGACCAAGCTGGAGTTGGTAATATCTCGCCAAGCCCTAGCCTACTCCCTCACCCTGTGGATGTGCACTCACCCGACGGTACTTGCCGAGTCTGAGTCTGTCTGTCTCTTCTTTCTACATTGAGTCTCTTTTGTCCTAAGTGGTAGTACTCTGTGGATGAAGGATAGGGCCTGGATGGCGAAACCCCTACCTGACCTTGTAGAGCTACTACCGTGTCTAATCTCACTGTCCCGGGGGGCCTAACCCTCCCAAGGACCGGTGTTGACCGGCGGGACGCGGATTGGGTGTGGCACGGTGGGCTTGAACGGCGAGTTGGGGCTGACACACCAGGCAGTCTTAAGTGTTGAGGGCCTTGTTGACCCAAACCCCTACCGGATCTAGTAAGGCTAAAGGCCGTGTCTGCCGACTCGACTGTCCCGGGGGACACGAACCCTCCCAAGGACCGGCACAGACCGGCGGGCTGCTCGGTGTGGCACGGTAGGCCCGAAAGGCTGAGTTGTGGGCTAATGCAACAGGCAGAACCAAGCTGAACACGTCGTCCTGACTGCGACGTTAAAGAATTCTTGCGGAGTTACGGGGGATCTCCTTAAATGCCTCCTGATCAGCCACTGGTTYAGTAGTGACAGCCATAGTGTAGGTCTAGGCTAGCGACCATAGTTGACAGGGTTCTATACGAGCCCTGTGGTCCTTAGAGAGTCACTTAGTCAGTGGTTTGGGTAGGTCTACGTGGTGAGGAGTGGGACATTGTCGTGCACCTGAACACCATGGACGACTACCCCATGTACGGTTTGCTTGTGGGGTTCTCCCTCTGGGGGACCCTTGGCGTCTCATTTTTCATTTGGGATTCTGGAACACATTTTCGTGTAGGGTAGAGACCAAGGGTGGTACGACCACCCACCCCTACACACCTGAGGAAGAGGCCAAGGCCGCCACGATCCTGAAGGAGAGAGAGAGAAGAAGGAGGCCAAGAAGAAGGCCTTGTTGGAGGCGCATGCAGCGAAGTTGAAGAAGAATGAGGAGGAGATGGCCAGAGAGAAGGAGAGGCTGAAGAAAGAAGAAAAAGCGAAGTTAAAGGAAGTTGAAGAGGAAGAAGAAGTAGAAGAGGAGCCACTGGAGTGAGGAAGAAGAGGGAACAGAGGGGAGTCCAGTGAGACGAAGGAAGATATGATGGAGAAGAAAATCTCGGAGTGGGTCGCAGGACTAACCCTGGGAGAAGATGAGGAGGCGTTAATGTATGTGCCCAGGGAGGAGCAGGAGGCGGCCATGCGAGAGTGGGAAGCTGATGGAGACCCGCTCAGGCGGCAAGTGCTAGAAGATGAGAAAAGGATGGAGTGGAAGTTCCGCCCCACTACGGAGAGGAAGAGGAGAATGGAGGCAGCAACAGAGGCGGCGAAAGAGTTGGAAGAGATTGGGAAGCAGAGGGCTCAGATGGCGGTCCAAGTAGATCTATTGGGAAAGGTAGAGATCCTGGCCAGGAACGTGGAACGCCTGCCAAAGGTCCAGGAGGAGCAACTTTTATTTGGTAGAGGCCAGGACATTGTCGTGCGTTCCATACGGCCGGGACTTCGGGACTTTGCTCGGGAATTGGCAATGCAGGTGGGCTCGCATGTGACAGCCCGCCTCGAGGGCAGTGAACGATACTGTGTTGGTACCATTGAGGGCGCCAAGCTGACCGCCCCAAAGGAAGAAGAAGCACGCCCCCGGAGGTCGGACAAGGTTAAGTTTCCTGATTCCTATAGCGGGAAGAAGGAAAAAAACTTTGACAATTGGGAGGCGAACGTTAAAACGTACGTGCACCTGCAGAAGGTGTCCCCCGATGACCAGGTCCTAATCGCCATCCATGCGTTGAAGGAAGAAGCCGCCAGTTTTGCACGCTCCTTAGTCCGCGCTGCTAATTGCAGCAACGATGTGGTTGCCTACTCTGCTTTCACCCCCCTCGCTGACTTTCTTAAGTTGCTGCGCAAACGATTTGCAGATGTCTCGCGCAGCGTCAGAGCCTGTGACCGATTGTGGAGGAGTGCCAAGGCACTCAAGGGAGTAATGGACGAGTTAGTGGCTACCCCTGACCATGGAGTCACAAAGACCCAACTGGTCAACCTCTTCTACCGGGCTATGCCCGAGTCGTTGCGTGGTCACTTCTTTGAGAAGAGATAGCAACCCACCATAACCTATGACGCATTGAGCAGGGATGTGGTGGCGTTTGAAGCAAAGTCTGTGTCAGTTTCCACTTTCTGGCACAAGGATTTGGACAAGGGAAAAAGGTGGATGGGTCGCACTATCTCAGGGCAAGTGAAGACAAAGGATAGCCTGATCCTTACCTTAGATGAGGGTAGTGTCGACGAGATCCCCTACGATCAGATAGAGTGGGGACTCGAGGGAGATGACAGTAACAGTAGTCAGGGAAGAACCTACGCTGCTGTCGCGGCTGGAGGGAGGCCGCAAGGAGGAGGACGAAGCCAGGGCCAAGGGGGCCGGGCCTCAGGGAATCGTTCTTAGGGCGACCAGGGGGTTGGCGAGAGAGGTGGAAACCGCCAAGCGGGAGGAAGGGGTCAAGGTCCCCCGCAAAACCGGTCTGGGAATAGGTCCCCTTATAGGAGAAGTGGTTGGCACCCAGGGCTGCCACAAGGCAGGCCTTGGGAAGATCTGGGCCTGGCCCATCGCTTATGGCAACAACGTGTGAACCAGGGCAGTGCATCTACTGCGGTGACCCTGGCCACATCATTAAATAGAGTCTGAAGTATAGAGAGGCTCGTTGGGCTGCACAAGAAGCAAAAGGCAGCCACCGGTAGGGGTAGCAATTGCCTCTACCATAGGGCTATGTGGAGACGAGTCAGCAAGCCGGCACGAATCTCCCACACCACATGAGCCCATGGCAGAAGTTGCAGGCCAGTGCCTAGATAGCTGCCCAGAGACTGTATGTGTTAGAGTCTCTCTAGGCACTTCCCTCACAGGCGTGGCAGAGGAATTGAAGGAGAGGATGCCCGCCTGGGCCAAGATGAGGAAAGAGAATAGGGGGCAACTCATATTGGTAGATACAAAGATTTTTAGAGGCCGGACTGGCGCCTTAGTGGATAGTGGAGCCACTCGCAGCTATATCAGTAGGAAGGCGCTGCAGAAGTTGAAGTTGCAGTTAAAAGTCCAAAGATTAGCAGACCCCATAGTAAGTATCCTCGCGGACAATCGCACCATGCGAGTGGAAGAGTACGTAGAGGGAGTCCAGCTGTATTTCCGCCTAGAACAGGACGGGAAGGTGGAGAAAGTTCTTCATTCCCTGACTCTCCTCGTAGAGGATAGCCTCCCGTTTGACATAGTCCTAGGTATGGACTGGGGGGGACTCCATTTGAGGGAGCACGAGTGGAGGCTCCCTAGCCCATCAGGTGGCGTCAAGACTGCCCGTCTGTTTCATGTGTCAGGAGTAGACAGCTCTCTGTCACATTGCTGCCTTAGCGTTCTTGCGTTCGCAAGGCTAGTGAAAAAGGAGCAGCTAGAGGAACAGGATTTTGTAGCCTATGTTAGGCCAGTCACTGAGCCTAAGGAAGAGAAACCGATAGACCCCGCTATTGCCAAACTGCTGGAAGAGTTCACAGACTTAGCAAAGCCGCCGATAGGAGTAGTGTCGCGGCTTATCCAGCACCGCATTGAGATGGAGCCTGGCAGTAGGACCCCCAAGGGAGCAGTGTATAGGATGTCCCCGCGGGAGTTAGAGGAGCTGCGTAAGCAATTAGACGAGCTCCTAGAGAAGGGTTGGATTAGGCCCAGTTCGTCTCCATTTGGAGCACCTGTTATGTCTATCCCCAAGAAGGAGGGAGAGCTTAGGATGTGTATAGACTACAGGGGTCTGAATGCTATCACAGTAAAGAATGTTGAGCCACTGCCTAGGATAGATGATCTTCTGGATCGAGTGCAGGGGTGCAGGTATTTTATGAAGATAGATCTGAAGTCCGGATATCATCAGATAGAGGTTCATCCTGATGATCAGTACAAGACAACTTTCCGGACTAAATACGGGCACTGCCCTTTGGACTAACCAACTCGCCAGCGACTTTCCAGCGATGTACGAATGACTTGTTTAGGCCGTGGTTAGATAGGTTTGTTGTAGTTTATTTGGATGATATCTTGGTGTTTAGCAAGACCCTTCGAGAGCATCAGGGTCATCTCAGGCAGGTCTTGGAGAAGCTAAGAGAAGCTAACTTCAAAATCAACGCAAAGAAATGCGAATGGGCAAGGACCCAAGTTTTGTATTTGGGCCACGTCTTAGACGGAGACGGCATCAAGCCAGAGGATAGTAAGATTGCAGCGATCAGGGATTGGCCTACACCGCGTACGTTGACAGAGGTCGTTCTTAGGCCTAGCAAATTATTATAGGAAGTTCGTAAGGAACTTCTCCACTATTGCTGCGCCCCTTCGCAGATTGCTCAGGAAAGAGACCAGCAGGAAGTGGGACAAGGACTGCACGTCTGCTATGAAGAAGTTGAAGCAGGCACTGATAGAGTATCCAGTCCTTAAGGTGGCCGATCCGTCCTTACCCTTTGCCGTCACGACGGACACTAGTCAGTACGGCAAAGGTGCTGTTTTGCAGCAAGACGATGGCAATGGTTATAGGCGCGTAGAGTTCATGTCTGTTAGGATGCCTTCAGAGAAGGTTGCAACATCTACCTATGAGAGGGAACTCTACGCTCTCAGGCAAGCGCTAGAACACTGGAAGCACTACTTGCTTGGGAGGCATTTCAAAGTCTATTCTGACCACGAAACGTTGCGATGGTTAAAGACGCAGGCCAAGATGACACCTAAGCTTACTAGGTGGGCCGCAGAAATAGACCAATACGATTTTGAGCTCAGGCCAGTTAAGGGTAAATATAATGTAGTTGGGGACGCTCTGAGTAGGAGAGCTGACTGGACATAGGGAGAGACCTGCAGGAAAGAGTTAAAGAAGCATATGCGCAGGACCCTATTTATAGTGACCTCTTCAAGCGAGTAAAGGAGGCCCCAGAGACCGAACCAGATTACCGCACTACTGACGGACTGTTATTTGAGAAGACTAACGTAGTTGACCGTCTGTGCATTCCCAATAGTGAGGAGATCCGTAGTCTGATCTTAGGAGAATGTCACGACACAGAGGGTCATTTTGGTTGGCAAAAGATTCTAGCCAACCTAATGCACGCGTACACGTGGCCAGGAATGAAGAATGACTGCATAGAGTATGTCCGCAGTTGTAAAGTTTGCCAGCGGAATAAGACTACTATGCGTGCTCCGCTAGGTCTTCTCAGACCCTTGCCTATTCCTGACCAGACCGGGGATTCAGTGTCCATCGACTTCATGAACGCGGGCGTCAAGAGTAGGCATGGCAAGAGCCAAGTCATGGTGATAGTCGATAGATTTAGCAAGTATGCTGTTTTTATACCTTTGCCTTCAGAGGCACGGACCGAGTTAGTGATCCGTAAGTGTTTTTATCATTGGGTCAGTGAACACGGGGTCCCATTGTCCATAGTTAGTGATAGAGAGACCCGGTTCACGAGTCTGAACTTGCAGGAGTTGATGAGAGTCTATGGCTCTAAGTTGTTAATGTCGTCTGGTCGTCATCCCGAGACTAACGGTCAGACTGAACAGATGAATAAGATCCTGCAGCAAGTTCTGATGATGTACGTTAGACCAGATCAAGTTGAATGGGACGAGATGCTCCCCAAGGTAGCCAGCGCCTAAAACAATAGTGTGCATCTGCCTACATGCCGCACTCCCAATGAACTGCACAAGTCCTTTAGGCCGCGCAGACCGTTTGAAGGACTTAACCGGGATCAGATTCATAGGCTACCGCCCGGTACTAAAGAGTTTGCTATACAGCACGAGAAAGAACTACCTACTGTTGTAGAGAACCTCAGGAAGGCCCAACATTGTAGAGAACCTCAGGAAGGCCCAGCATTGTAGAGAACCTCAGGAAGGCCCAGCATAGGATGATAGAGCAAGCCAACAAACATCGTTGCCCATCACAGTTCCAAGTGGGCGACTTAGTCTGGGTCAAAGCTAAAGAGTTTGCTCCTGAGGAGAACATCTCGCAAAAGTTACTGCCCGTGTATAGAGGACCGTGGCCAGTTCTAGAAGTCAAGGGCGGAGAAGATGGTCCGTCCTGCTCGATAGAGATTCCACTACACCTCCACACCTACCCAGTTTTTCATGCGTCAAAGTTGTTGCCATGCACAGTAAGTGACCAGTTTCCATCTAGACGTTCCATGATCCCTCCAGACATGGATGGGAGGTACGACATTGACGGCATTGTAGGTGAAGACGTGTTTAGAACCGGAGGTCGAGGTCGTCCTCAAAAACAGTATAAAGTCAGATTTGCATATCAGGAACCAGAAGACGACCGGTGGTTCACCAGAACTGAACTTCTAGAAACAGCTCCCGACATAGTTAGGGCCTACGAAAAAGACAAAGGGTAAAGGTCCTGCCTTGGACTGAAGTATTCTCGGAGGACCTCGAATTTAGGCCGGCGGGAGTGAAACGGTATTCACCAGTTCGCAGTAGCTGATGCAGATCCCAGGGCTCGATCCCTAATCCCCACCTTACCTGTGTACAGTACCTGTGTCAACCTGTAGAGTTGAACCTGCGACCTGTAGGACTGCCAGTGGTAGGTTGGTCATCGTAGGTTACAGGGTATAGGGGATTCAAACTGTAGACCTGTCGGGTAGAAGTCTAGAGAGTCGAGAGGTCTTAGCTGTAGACTTTCCGAAGGGTCAAAGTCGTAGCTGCTACTTACCTGAAAGGGCCAAAGTCGTAGCTGCTTCAAGACCAAAAGGCCAAGTAGATGCTTCTAGAAGTGGCCTTTCGGGGTCAGCCCACTGTAGGTCAAGGCAAGTGGGCAAGTGGTGGAAATCCACCGTGCAGAGTCATCAGTCCCAGTCCAGTCAGTCCGGTCCAGTCAAGCAAGTACCGCCTGGGACTGTGTGCACCGTGGGCCAGGGGAACAGGGCAGGCCGACGAGCCACAGAAGTATAAATCAAGAGGCCGCGCACAGCCATTCATTCATTCCTGCGGAAGCCATGCGGAAGCGCTGTCTCAGCGGCTTGTGCGAGGAGGTCTGCAGCAGCCGGAAGTCGAAGTGGGCAAGAGAGACGAAGTGCAGCCATAGCGATAGGGTAGTGGCAGCCATCGCTGCCATAGCTGTAGGTTAGAGTGAAGTGTGTGTGTGTTGAGTGAGTGTTCAGCGTGTCGCGTGTGGGATATCCAGGGTGATCCGGTGTGTGTGAACAGTGAGATGTTGGGCGCTGAGTCGCCATAGCCAGTGGAAGTGAACTCTTATCTGGATGCCATATCTCTGAGTTCTGTGTGGGCGCATGTTGCTGCGATGCTGTTTACATGCATGCAAGGTGTGAATGAGACGAGTCTGATTGCAAGTGTCTTGTGTCTGGACCTCTAGGCCGTGTCAGGTGGGGTGAAACGACACTGAAAAATCAGCCCGTTATTTTTCAAGGGGCGGCCAGAACCCGAAAAACATCCTTGGCCGCCCACTTTTTTTTTTCTGATTTTTGTCGTGTGGGCCACCGAACCCGGAGATGTAGTTCCGGACTGTCTGGAACCCGGTCCGGACGTCCGGTCGGTTACCATGGTTAAGCCCCTAACATTATGGAATTCCCCAGGATTTAGACTTGTGATCATGGGATCTATGCATGTAACATTCACCCACCAGCCGTGTATATTTGCCCCTTGTGTCGTTGCTGCTGACTTTATGCCTGGTTAGGTGGTAGTTCTGCACTTTGCCCCAATTCTTCCACGCAGGGAGTGATGATTACTTGACGAAGATGAGGATGATAATCAATTATCAGGTTCTAGAGCCGAATGATAAATGTTACCTCTTGTTTTGTCTGTGTGGCGTCTGGTGCAGTGGCTCTGTTTGTCACAAGCAATACAGGGAAGGTGAAGATGGTCAGTCACCACGAAATAACAGCGATGACAGTGGTCATTACAGAAATGGGCGCAATCCCACGTCAGGCAGTTATCAGCAGAGTCAAATTCAACGGCCAACATCTTCACACCGAAACTATAGCCGCTTTGATGATCATCCCAGATCTCCACTGCGTCAACAATCTCAAAATCATACACATTCTCATCAGCATCAAAACGACGCTAACCAGGTAGGCTTCTTCTGTTTACCCCATCAATCTTGTTGCCAACAGTATGTTACGTTGTGGATTAGTCCTTAGAACTCATGGTTGCCTCTAATCTTACCCGTGCTACTGAGAACATCCCCGTTCACAAGGTTCTCTTGGCCTGAATCCTGACTACAACTGATTCTGAATACCCTTGCCTTATCAACATCCCCCCTGAAGTAGCTCCCCCGCCCCTGCCGCGTCTCTGTCTCTCATTCTCTCGTTCTATCTCTTTTGAATACACTCACCACATCAGCATCCTCCCTAACGTACCCCTATGTCTGTCTGTGTTGAATACACTCACCACATCAGCGTCCTCCTTAATGTAGCCCTCTGACTGTCTGTCTCTTTTGAACACTTGCCACATCCTCCTCCTCCTGCAGTAATCCTCTCTCTCTCATACCCTTGCCATA